CCACCACGCCCGGCTAATTTTTTGTATTTTTAGTAGAGATGGAGTTTCACCATGTTGGCCAGGCTGGTCTCGAACTCCTGACATCAGGTGATCCTCCCGCCTCGGCCTCCCTAAGTGCTGGGATTACAGGTGTGAGCTACTGCACCTGGCCTGTTAGTAAATATTTTATCTTCTAGTTGAAGCACAGAGAGAAGTTGCCAACTCAGAATTGACATTGAGGACAGGTCAGCTGGGAGGAGAAAATTGCAGACTCTGGTGGAATCCTGGCTCCACACCCATTATTCCTTGGTGATGTGGATAATACAACATCACCCTCTCTAAGTCTCATTTTCCTCATCTAGAGGTGAGGCTTCTCATAATGGAGTCCATCTCATAGTTGGAAAAAAAAGAAGATAATGAGATAATGTATGGCAAATGCTTAGCACAGTGTCTGATGCATCATAAGGACTTAATAAGTGTTTGTTATTATTCTAATTATTATTCTTGGGAGCTGAGCCCCGCTCAGGCACTAACTCTGGAGACCCCTCAGCAAGACTCTTCTTATCTGTCATAGGGGACGTTTGAATCTGATGAACTGCACTCAGCCTGGTGACAGAGCAAGACTCTGTCTCAAAAAAAAAAAAAAAAAAAAAAACTGCAGATCTCAGCCGTGCTTGTTGAGTTCACAAAATAATAGACGTCCAATTAAAACACTTTAGGTTATTTTTAGGACTGAGTAGAAATAAGGTATCCTATCCATTCACCTGTTCTGACCTCAGAGAGAGAAATGTCATTTGTGAGTAAGGGGCTCCTCAGTCATGATTTTAAGGAGCTCATTCAATTTTTAAAAACAATAAAAAGAGGACACCTTCTTTTTCTCTTTACATAGAGATTTACATACAGTGCGTTGCCAAATCTTCGCAATAACCCTGCCCTAGATAAGACAGCTGCAGGGGACCTAGTGGTAAATAAAAGGCTGAGATGGAAATGCTGGGCTCTCTGCCTGCAAAGCCCACGCTGAGTCTTGCTGGGATGCTTGAGGAGTCTAAGCTCCCTGGTAACCAGATCACTCCCTGCTGATGCAACACCCAGGAGGTAACGCCATGCTCATGTCTTCTGGTCACAGAGGGACTGGAGAGTGACCTGGAAGGGTGAAGGCACAGCCTTAATGTTTGCCTTCCTGTGGGAGAATGACTTAAGGCCTTGGCGACTTGGGTGAGCCAGAGTCCGCCAGTTTCAAAACAGTCTCTATTTATTTATTTATTTTTATTTATTTATTTATTTACTTAATTTATTTATTTGGGACGGAGTCTCGCTCTGTCGCCCAGGCTGGAGTGCACTGGCCCAATCTTGGCTCATTGCAGCCTCCACCTCCCGGGTTCAAGCGATTCTCCTGCCTCAGCTTCCTGAGTAGCTGGGACTACAGCTGTGCACCACCACACCAGCTAATTTCTGTATTTTTAGTAAAGACGGGCGGGGTTTCACTATGTTGGCCAGGCTAGTCTTGAACTCTTGCCCTCAAGTGATCCACCCACCGCAGCCACCCAAAGTGCTGGGATTACAGGCGTGAGCCATCACACCTGGTCTCAAAACACTCTTTGTTAAGTAGCCACTAAGTTGCACCTGGAAACATTTCTCAAGGAGCAACTACACAAACATCACTGTGTATACATGTGGTGTGTTGTTTCCAGGTGCTCATATCCAGGGAGGTGTGGAGAAGGAACATCAAGAGGCGGTCAGAAGCCCCCAAATCATGACATTGTATTGTGACTACTGATTCACTGTGCCTTTAGCTGGCTGCAGTTGGGACTCCACATTACACAGATATGTTTTACATATTCAGTGGAGACATTTTTTTTTTTTGAGACCCAGTCTCGCTCTGTCGCCTAGGCGTGATCTTGCCTTACTGCAAGCTCCATCCCCTGGGTTCACGCCATTCTCCTGCCTCAGCCTCTGAGTAGCTGGGACTACAGGCGACTGCCACCATGCCGGGCCAATTTTTTGCATTTTTAGTAGAGACGGGGTTTCACCATGTTAGCCAGGATGGTCTCGATCTTCTGACCTTATGATCCACCCGCCTTGGCCTCCCAAAGTGCTGGGATTACAGGCGTGAGCCGCCGCGCCCGGCCTTTTTTTTTTTTGAGATGGAGTTTCACTCTTGTTGCTCAGGTTGGGGTGCGATGGCGCGATCTTGGCTCACTGCAACCTCCGCCTCCTGGGTTCCAGCGATTCTCCTGCCTCAGCCTCCCGAGTAGCTGGGATTACAGGCATGTGGCACCACATCTGGCTAATTTTGTATTTTTAGTAGAGATGGGGTTTCTCCATGTTAGTCAGGCTGGTCTCAAACTGCTGACCTCAGGTGATCCTCCTACCTCGGCCTCCCAAAGTGTTGGGATTACAGGTGTGAGCCACCGCACCCGGCCAGTGGAGCCATTTCTTATGCAGGAGATAGTTTCTGTAATCAGTGAGTAAGGGGAAACACATGTAGATAAATGTAAAAATCCCTTATTACTGTGATTTGTACATACAACTGTAGACAGCCACACACCACTGTGTAAGTGTATTGCCATGTTTGTTTTTTTCATCTTTTATTCATGATTAATGAGTAGAATGGCAGGCAAAAACTTCTATGTACTCGGTATGCAACAAGATCTTGTAAATGAAAACAACAAAAAAAAAACAAAAAACTTTCCAGTTTTTAAAGAGTTTTTCAGTATTTTTTCTTCTGAACGTATATGATTAAATATGCATTAACTAATGCATGAAAGAGCTTCACCGTGGAAAAAACACCACGGTCAGGCAAATCCACACTCCAATCCCAGCTCTGCCACTCACTATGTGAGGCACAACCTTTTTTTTTTTTTGGAAACAAAGTTTCACTTTTGTCGCCTAGGCTGGAGTGCAATGGCACAACCTTGGCTCACCACAACTTCTGCCTCCCGGGTTCAAACAATTCTCCTGCCTCAGCCTCCCGAGTAGCTGGGATTACAGGCATGTGCCACCATGCCTGGCTAATTTTGTATTTTTAGTAGAGACGGGTTTTCTCCATGAGGTCAGGCTGATCTCCTCCCGACCTCAGGTAATCCGCCTGCCTCAGCCTTCCAAAGTGCTAGGATTGCAGGCATGAGCCACTGCGCCCAGCGTGAGGCACACCTTTGCTGTTCAATGTGTGGTCCTCAGATTAGCCGCAGCCACATCACCTAGGAGCTTGGAGAAATGGGCAGTCTCAAGTTCCATGCCAGATTTATTCAATCAGAATCTGTAGTTTTACAATATCCCCCAAGTGATTGGTATCCCCATTACAGTATGAGAAATGCTAATACACACTAATTGATATTTGAGACTTACTATAAAGGGTATTGTGTCTGGAGTTGGTTCCTTCTGGTGGGTTCAAGTGGTCTCCCTGACTTCAAGAATGAAGCTGCAGATGCTCGCAGTGAATGTTACAGCTCTTAAAGGTGGCACAGACCCAAAGAGTAAGCAGCAGCAAGATTTATTGTGAAGAGCAAAAGAACAAAGCTCCCATAGCGTGGAAGGGGACCCAAGTGGGTTGCCGCTGCTGGCTGGGGTGGCCAGTTTTTATTCTGTTATTTGTCCCTGCCCACATCCTGATTGGTCCATTTTACAGTTCTAATTGGTCCATTTTACGGAGTGCTGATTTGTCTATTTTACAGAGTGTTGATTGCTGCATTTACAATCCTTTAGCTAGACACAGAGCGCTAATTGGTGCATTTTTACAGAGTGCTGATTGGTGTATTTACAATCCTTTAGCTAGACATAGAGCACTCATTGGTTTTTTTTACACAATGTTGATTGGTGTATTCACAATCCTTTAGCTAGACACAGAGTGCTGATTGGTGTGTTTTTACAATCCTCTTGTAAGACAGAAAAGTTCTCCAAGTCCCCCACTCGACTCAGGAAGTCCAGTTGGCTTCACCTCTCAGTATGATGCCACTTTCTCTGTAGGGTTATCAGGATTTAGTGAAATGTGGCATTTAAAGTGCCTAACATGGCTGGGTGCACTGGCTTACACACACACACATATATTATTTTATATAAATATAATCTCAGCAGTTTGGGAGGCAGCAGCAGGTGGATTGCTTGAGCCCAGGAGTTCGAGACCAGTCTGGGCAACATAAGGAGACCCTATGTCTACAAAAAATTAAAAAATTACCTGGACATGGTGGCATGCACCTGTGGTCCCAGCTACTTGGGAGGCTGGGGTGGGAGGATCATTTGAGCCTGGGAGGTTGAGGCTGCAGTGAGCTATGAATGTGCCATTGCACTCCAGCCAAAAAATAAATAAAAAATAAATAAAGTGCCTAACACATAAGGTGGTAAATAAGGTTTGTTCCCTTCCCCCTACAGCCAAATACATTTGCTTTATACAAGCATGAGGCATATCAAGGCGTTTATAGATGGGGAATGACTTTTGTTGTTGTTTTTGAGACAGAGTCTTGCTCTGTTGCCCAGACTGGAGTGCGGTAGCACAATCTCGGCTCACTGCAACCTCTGCCTCCTGGGTTCAAGCAATTCTTCTGCCTCAGCCTTCTGAGTAGCTGGTACTACAGGTGTGTGCCACCACGCCTGGCTAATTTTTGTATTTTTAATGGAGACAGGGTTTCCCCATGTTGGCTAGGCTGGTCTCGAACTCCTGACCTTGTGATTCACCTGCCTTGGCCTCCCAAAGTGCTGGGATTACAGGCATGAGCCACCACGCCTGGCCGAGGGGGAATGATTTTTTTATTCCTCATTTTAATTATCTCAAGGGAAAGGCTCAGGAAAAACATCAGCATCTCCAAGAAAGTGTTCTCAGTCCCCAGTGAGAATTAAGCTCTCCCTTTCATACATGAGGAGCACTTTGTGCCCGTTTTATATGTTAGCACTTTGCCTTTTATTAGTGCTGTGTGCACATCTGTCTGCTCCATGCAGTGTGTGAGCTGTGGGCAGGAGCCAAGCCCTGTCCACGATCTCATTCTCCACAACTCCAGGTCCAGTGCTTTTCCACAAGCTCAAGGGCGATGAAGGTTTGAGGAATTGTAGAAAGTACAGTGGCAAAGCCAGAAACAAAATGTTATCATCATTCTTCCTAGATCAACAAGCTTCCAACATCACTACCGTTTATGTGGCTTCTAGCTGTTTAGCATTTTGGAGCTATATTCAAATAACACATCTCCTCACCTGTCCACCTTAACAGATGTGCTGTTCTATCACTTCCTTCATCATGTGACTGACTTGAAAAAGGCACAGATCAACATTGTGTTTGACATGCTGGACTGGAACGCTGTGGGCGAGATCGGCTTTGAGCAGTTCTACATGCTGGTGTGTATGCTGCTGGCCCACGAGGCAAGTAACCGCACAGCTGCTACCATCCTCTTGCTAATGGGAGCACTGAATTAGGAATACATCAGTTTTCTTCCTTTCACTAAAAAGAGGAAGAAAAGACGGGTGGGGAAAATGAGTTTTGGTTCCCGAATGATTCAGGTTTTTCAACAGCCTCTCCCTGCTGCAGCCCCAGCCTCTTGGCCGCCCTCCTACTCTGCCCTTCCTCATAGAGGACAGATGTGGCCCATTGCATCCCTTCTTGGCATTCCTTTCCTCACTCGCTCTAGCTGGTGATTTTCAGAGAATCACCAGCTAGCTCAAGCGCCTCACTCCTTCTGAGGTCTTTTCTTACCATATATACATTTCCAGTATGTACTTACCCAGTTCCTTTTTTTTTTTTTCTTTGAGACTGAGTCTTGATCTAACCCAGGCTGGAGTGCAGTGGCGCGATCTCGGCTCACTGCAACCTCCACCATTTGGGTTCAATAGATCAAGTAGCTGGGACTACAGGTGCACACCCCCCCACTCCTGGCTAATTTTTTGTATTTTTAGTAGAGATGGGGTTTCACCATATTGGCCAGGCTGGTCTCAAAGTCCTGACCTCAAGTGATCTGCCCGCCTCGAGCCTCCTGAAGTGCTGGGATTATAGGTGTGAGCCACTGCACCCGCCCTAAGTTCCCGTTTTTTTGAGGGAAGGAGGTCATCATTTTATCACCCATGCCATGACGTTCCACAAGACTTTCACTGAACGTAAGGAAATGCATTATAGTAACCAGAGTTCTGTCTAGCAGAATTGATCATTACAGGTGGCAGAATTCAAGTTCCTTTTGAATGCAGACGCTGAAGTAAGACTTCCTGCATCGATGATAGAACCCTTTCAGCCCTGAGCTTCTGATTTTCTCTTTTGCTTTTAGCTCTCTAGGGAAGGGGCTGGTGAAGATACGTCTTGAGGAAACAAGTTAGAAAGCAGCGTTGACAACACTGTTGCTCATCTCACCTATTTCTCTTGCACTAGAACCATTTGGAAGGACAGTTTATGTACCGTCATTCCCGGCCTGTCTTTGACTTGCTTGACCTGAAAGGGGATCTGAGAATTGGTGCAAAAAACTTTGGAATGTACAGATTTCTCTTCAATATTCACAAACAGGAACTCAAAGATCTCTTCCATGACTTTGACGTTACAGGTGACAATGTAAGTACAGACCAAAATGTGGCATCTGTGTGGCAGTCCCTTTCCTTCCATAAGCAGAGAAAAATGTCTTACTACATATAGGAGAGATGGGAGAGGAGGAGGGCGGGAAAAACCTACTCAAATAAGCATATTGCATGGCACTAGGATCAGAAAAAAACTTAAGACTTATGGGCCCTTGAAGAGAAAGGATGGACTAACTGCTATATCATGGCCAGGCTCGGGGGCTCATGCCTATAATCCCAGGACTTTGGGAGGCCGAAGCGGGAAGATCACCTGAGGACAGGAGTTTGAGACTATTTACTAGCCTGGCCAACATTGTGAAACCCTGTCTCTACTAAAAATAAAAAAATACAAAAATTGGCTGGGTGTGGTGGCTTACGCCTATAATCCCAGAATTGGGAGGCTGAGGTGGGCGGATCACCTGAGGCCAGGAGTTTGAGACCAGCCTGACCAATACGGAGAAACCCCATCCCTACTAAAGATACAAAATTAGCTGGGCGTGGTGGCACATGCCTGTAATCCCAGATACTTAGAAGGCTGAGGCAGGAGAATCGCTTGAACCCGGGAGGCGGAGGTTGCGGTGAGCCAAGATCATGCCATTGCATTGTACTCCAGCCTGGGCAACAAGAGGGAAACTCCGACTTAAAAACAACAACAACAACAAAAATTAGCCGGGCGTGGTGGCAGGCGCCTGCAATCCCAGCTACTCGGGAGGCTGAGGCAGAAGAATCGCTTGAATCCAGGAGGTGGAGGTTGCAGTGAGTTGTGATCACACCGCTGCACTCTAGCCTGGGGGACACAAGGAGACTCCGTCTCAACAAACAAACAAACAAAAAATGCTACATCATATAATATGGATACAAAATTATACTTTAGAGGAAATTTAATCATATGGTAGTAGTTTGGTGTTGGGGGAAGAGTTTGTAGATTTGAATTAAACAGGAAGAGATTATATGATGAATGAGAGCATGTGAGCATAATCCTAACGGCTGGGCACTGTGGTGCACACCTGTAGTCACAGCTCCTTGGGAGGCTGAGAAGGGAGGATCGCTTGAGCCCAGGAGTTCCAGGCCAGCCTGGGCAGCATAGTGAGATCCTGTCTCAAAAAAAAAAAATTCCTAAGAGAAAGCTATGGTGAGGAGAGTTAATTCTGCCTATTTAAAGAGGAAATCCACTTTGGGGAAACAAGTGGCAGCTAAGGTTGAAAACAGTGATCACACTGTGAACAACCTTAGGTGCCAGCCTGAAACCTCTGGACTTGACATGGCAAAGGTTGGTGAAAAAAGTAATCGCGGTTTTTGCCATTGAAAGCTGGCAGGCTGGGGCCGGGCGCGGTGGCTCACGCCTGTAATCCCAGCACTTTGGGAGGCCGAGGCCAGTAGATTATGAGGTCAGGAGATCGAGACCATCCTGGCTAACACAGTGAAACCCCGTCTCTACTAAAAATACAAAAAAATTAGCTGGGCGTGGTGGCGGGCGCCTGCAGTCCCAGCTTCTCGGGAGGCTGAGTCAGGAGAATGGTGTGAACCTGGGAGGCGGAGCTTGCGGTAAGCCGAGATGGCGCCACTGCACTCCAGCCTGGGCGTCAGAGCAAGACTCCGTGACAAAAAAAAAAAAAAAAAAAAGAAAGAAAAGTAATGGCAAAAGCCACAATTACTTTTGCCTTTTGTACCAACCTAATAGAAGAAAGTGACCTTTGTGCTGGGCACCATGGCTCATGACTGTAATCCCAACACTTTGGGAGGCTGGGGTGGGCGGATCACTTGAGGCCAGGAGTTCGAGATCAGCCTGGCCAACATGGTGAAACCCTGTCTCTACTAAAAATACAAAAATTAGCCAGGTGTGGTGGTGTGCATCTGTAATCCCAGCTACTCAGGAGGCTGAGGCAGGGGAATCACTTGAACCTGGGAGGCGGAGGTTGCAGTGAGCAACCATTGATACTCCATTGGTTGGATAGCACCATTGCACTCCAACCTGGGTGACAGAGAGGAATTCCGTCTCAAAAAAAAAAGTGACCCTTGTTCCTTTAGCATCTACAATAGACTATTCCTGGGTACTCGACTACAATCAGACTATAATTATATCCCAATTACCAAGTGTCTTTAATTTTCCAAGTTAAAACAAAAATGAAAACCAAAAATGAATACAATCCTGCTATCATCTGAAACAAAGTATCAAGTTTTTCCTGAAATAATTTTTCTTTTTTCCCCCCCAACCCAAAGCTTCTTAATTATCAGGAATTTAAGCTGTATACAATCATCTACATTGACAAATTACAGAGGAGGCAGAAAACAGAGGAGAAAGAAAAAGACGACGGAAAAAGTGGAGAGAACAAGAAGTCTCTACTGGAAAAGAAAATGTCACATGAAGTAGATGTAAGCCGAAAGAGTCTCTTGGAAAAAAATGAGATCTGAAAGTACAGAACATGAACGTTGATGAAGACTGTTAACATGTCTAAAAATAAATTCAGAGCATCAAAGTGGATATCTTTATAATGATTTTTTTTTTTTTTTTTTTTTTTTTTGAGACACAGTCTTGCTGTATCGCCCAGGTTATAGTGCAGTGGCATGATCTGGGCTCACTGCAACCTCTGCCTCCTGGGTTCAAGTGATTCTCATGTCTCAGTCTCCCGAGTAGCTGGGATTACCACCATACCCAGCTAATTTTTTGTATTTTTAGTAGAGATGGGGTTTCACCATGTTGCCCAGGCTGGTCTCAAATTCCTGACCTCAAGTTATCCACCCACCTTAGCCTCCCAAAGTGCTGGGATTACAGGTGTGAGCACTGTGCCCAGCCAAGTTCTGAATTTTAATAACCTCGTGACCTCACACAGAACTCACAATAATGTAATGTGGAATAACCACTTTCATATTGTTGACATGTCTCAATTCTGCTGCTGCTTTTCAGATCAACCCTGATCAATAGCTTCCTCTGTATTCAACTAATTGCTAACACAACATACTGGAGCCAGGTAGGTGAAAGAAGGTGCAGCTTTCCTGATATTGGTCATTAGTGGTCCAACAGCCTCCTACTTCTTAGGCTAAGGCCACTTAGGTGCCTGAGATTTCAAATTAGCCAATGGTGAAGTGCTCCAACCACACAGTAGTTGACATTTAACGATATGGAGGCTATGTTCTTAGAATCTTAATTATTCTGAGTTAAGTACTTAAACAAGTGTACCAAATCTACTAGGGTAAAATAATAATAATTATTTTTTGAGACCAAGTCTCGCTCTGTCACCTAGGCTGGAGTGCAGTAGCGCAATCTCAGCTCACTGCAACCTCTGCCTCCCGTGTTCAAGCGATTCTCCCTGCCTCAGCCTCCCGAGTAGCTGGGACTACAGGCGCACGCCACCATGCTCGGCTAATTTTCGTATTTTTAGTAGAGATGGGGTTTTACCATATTAGCCAGGTTGGTGTCAAACTCCTGACCTCGTGACTCGCCTGCCTCGGCCTTCCAAAGTGCTGGGATTACACGCGTGAGCCATCGTGCCTGGCCTGGTAAAATAATTATTACATGCCCTTGCATAATTTTAATTTTTTGATGCCTTGAATAATTTAAAAATATTTTTTGGGATGGGACTTATGACTCCTCTCTACCTAACTGTACTGTAATGTTATTGATGACAGCTACCATATAATCATGTGCTTGCTATGGGTTAGGTAGTTCTTTAAATGCATGATTTATTCTTATGGCCCTACGAATTAGGTATTATTATCCTCAATGTGCAGATGAGAAAATTGAGACCTAGAAAGATTAAGGACCTTACATATAGCTCGCAAGAGGGAGGACCAGGATTCAAATTCAAGGTCAATTAGATGCCTGTGCTTAGAGCCAGTATCTGAGTAGCTCATTTTAGTTTCAGCAGATTCAAGTTTTAAGCTGGGATTTCATTGGCTTGGAAATCTATTTTGCATAATGTTATTAATCACCACATCTCCTGCTACCATAAATTTCTCAGGAAAGAAGTTAAATACAGCTCAAAAAATAAATACAGCTCATTTACTATAAACCAAGAATTTCTTAAGGATACATTAAATAATATAACTGGCTTTAAGGAATTCCATGAGTTCCAAAGTACTTAACATCAAAAATAGAATTTAATTACGCTTTGTCAATGTGCAACAGACAAGAATACTGCTTATCTAAGATTGTCGTTCATAAGTTAAACTTGTAAATAACAGCAAATAATTACTATCTCTCTATATTTAATAGACATGGGATTTTGATTTCATGCTTTCAAGTGTGACAAATGTACTTAGCAGCCAAAATTTCTCTTCCCCACAATGGTACCAGAAAAACAAACACAACTCAAGACACTTGACCTCTGATACAGGGATAATGGTATGTATCTCATGAAATTGTGAAAAACAGAAAGATGCAAGGCATCTCACTACAGTGCTCTTCCCTTCCTTTGATTTGGTGAAGAGTTTGCAATTATTCTCCAAGGAGAAACTCTCTGGCAAGCAAGTATGGACACTACTACACCTACCCACTGTACTGAAAGATGAGCACTATCTGTTCAGAAAATGGCAGCTAGAGATTAGCCATAGTTCCAAAGTGCCCCTCTAAGCTCATCTTGGTATAAACCGTTTCTGCTTCTTGTGGCAGCCTCAATGGCTTTTGCCACCAGATAGCCTTGGGATCTGGGCATGGTTTTGGGAGAAGAAATTTCAGTGAGGTTCCAGGAAGGCTTCTCTCTCCTATCTTCCAGAGGGGTCCTGAGATATATAAAGGGTAACCATGGCCGGGTGTAGTGGCTCAAGCCTGTAACCCCACCACTTTGGGAGGCCGAGGTAGGTGGATCACTTGAGCTCAGGAGTTCGAGACTAGCCTGGGCAACATGGTGAGGCCCTGTCTCTATTAAAAACAAAACAAAAGGGTAACCATGGATATGTATTTTTTCAGATATGGTCTCTCAAGCAATGAAAATACTATACTCTTTATTGTTTCAGGATGGGGGCAGGGAGAAAAGATGGCCAAAGATAATAGGTATATACAGGTACTGATTTAGGATAATTTAAAACCACATCAAATGACTGAAGTTTCAGGAATGAGCAGTTTTATAAGTTTTCCCCTCCACTCTGGAAACCATTAGGGTGGCTATAAAAGGTATAATTAATCAACTATCAGTTTTTTTTTTTTTTTGAGATGGAGTTTCGCTCTTGCTGGAGTGCAATGACGCAATCTCAGCTCACTGCAACCTTCACCTCCTAGTTCAAGCGATTCTCCTACTTCAGCCTCCTGAGCAGCTGGGATTACATGTGCCCACCACCACGCCCAGCTAATGTTTGTATTTTTAGTAGAGACGGGGTTTCACCATGTTGGTCAGGCTAGTCTTGAACTCCTGACCTCAGGTGATCTGCCTGCCTCAGCCTCCCAAAGTGCTGGGATTACAGGTGAGTCACCGTGCCCAGCCCAACTATCAGATTTTTAAAATGTTCTTCCTTTTAAGAGCATCTTCCTAAACTGGATGCTTCTAGAATGGTATCAGTAAACTGAGCATCTCTCTGAATTGCTCACACTGAAACTTAGTGTCAAAACGAAAATTCAAATGCACAATTTCAGTGATATTCTTTTGCGACTTAGTAGTACGATTTATAAAACAATCTACTAATGTACACTTTAGGACTTTTTTTTTTTTTTTTTGAGAGAGTCTCGCTCTGTCGCCCAGGCTGGAGTGCAGTGGTGCCATCTTGGCTCACTGCAAGCTCCACCTCCCAGGTTCAGGCCATTCTCCTGACTCAGCCTCCTGAGTAGCTGGGACTACAGGCGCCTGCAACCACGCTCAGCCAATTTTTTTGTATTTTTAGTAGAGACGGGGTTTCACTGTGTTAGCCAGGATGGTCTCAATCTCCTGACCTCGTGATTTGCCTGCCTCGGCCTCCCAAAGTGCTGGAATTACAGGCATGAGCCACCGCGGCCGGCCACTTTAGGACTTTTTCATAATTACATTTTATGATAAAAAATTTTAAATGTGTTTGTAGGTATGTATTAGATGCTTCAATGTAAGTTTCACTATTTCCACAGTGAAATAGCCCATCAGATTATGCTTTTAAGGGTAGAGTTTACTAGACAATGTACATTTAGGTATGTTTTTGGATGGTACCAACACTCTGTATCATTACTATGTCACAGTTGCACTGAAATGTTTTGGTCAACCAAGTGTGTTCAGGTGGCCTCAGCCTTGGGGAGAGAGCAGCACCTGCAGAGGTAGAGGAATGCAGGCCTAATGGGAGGGAGGGCTTACCCAGCTACAGTTTCAGCCCAGGCCAACAGACTGGTTCCTCCACAATCTACATCCACTACAAAGAGGGAAGACATTTGGAGGAAGCTAACCATAAATAAAGTGAGATCATTTATTAGGTTGGTGCAAAGGGAACTGCAGTTTTTGCCACTGGCATTAAAAGCATTAAACGCAATGGCAAAACTGCAATCCCCTTTGCATCAACACAACATCTTCCACCAGTCCTTAGAGTTCACGTCTTATCATCTTAAGCCTCATACTAAAGACAACGATTAGAAAGAGACAAATGCACTGTGCTGACATCTGCTGAGTGGGACAGTTACCCACCTTCACAGCTTACAGAACCAGGAGGATCAGAGGAGCCACAAGAGGCCCAAACAGACATCACAGAAGATTGGCTACAGCAAGGGAGGTTATCAGCTTCATTCTTTCCTCTCCATAAGTAAAAACACTAAATTACAGTATTTGAGAGTTGGAGGTGGACACAATGTATATCTGCTAATTTGTCCAATTAATAAGACCATTAAAACACCATAGTGTCTTAAAAACTTGTCACAAAATAAGGATTTTTTTCACATTAATGGGGAAAAGATAGATAAAAGTTATTCAGTAAGTATTATCCAGAAAAGTGACATAGCTATTTGAAAAAATACACGTGGATTGCTATCCTACTTCTTTCACCAAAATAAATTTCACATAACAATGAAACCAAAAAGGAAACACACGAGAAATATTTTTTAACCTTGGATTGGGGAAACATTTTTATAACCTCAGATTGGGGAAGATCTTTTGAGGTTAAGAAAACCCAGAAGCTGTAAAATAAGAGACTGACAGATCTGACCATGAAAAACTTAAAATTTGCACACGGTAAATTCCACACAAACCAAAGACATGGCAACACATGATAGAAAAGAACTAATTTCCTGAATATAGAATGGGTACTCATAAGTCTTGAGAGTCAAGACCAAAATGCAATAGGAGTATGGGCAAACAGAACATTCACAGAAAAAAAAAAAAAAAAAAAGGAAAAAAAGGTGGCCTTAAAATATAGTAAAATGTGAAACTTCACTCATAAGGAAAATACAAAGCAAAACCACAGGACAAAGTTCTTATCCAATTGTCAAAGATCAGAAAGGTGGTCAGGGTGCAGAAAAATTAGAGCAGTCATACTGCTGTAGTATAAGGATTAACTGGTAAAATCGCTTTGGAGGACAAGTCGCATAAATCTATAGAATGCG